TGCCGAAGTCGAGATGCGAGTCGAATCGAAGAAGAGTGTTGTTGTGTTTTAATGAGGGTATCACGGTCAGCGGATTATAATTATGATCCTGTCCAGGGGTGTTGTCGTAATTGTAGGTAGGTGCCCTGGGCAATGCAACCTGTCGTTCTTTGTCGGCCAGATTGACTTTTTTGCTGCCGTCTGAATCGAAACGGGCCCGTGCCATTTCAGCTGAAGGGCAGCTATTGCGAACAGGCCGGGGTGTCCTGGGTTGAACAAATGCGTGAAATGAGCTGCGAATGGGCTTTGATCCATCCTTGAGCTTTTTTGCAATGCCAGAATCACCCTAACCCGTCATATCATGAGGCGAGAGGTTATTGGGAATGCCTCTGGTCGTATCGTATCGTCGTGCTCGGCAGTTCCGAGGGCACTTCATGTTGAAGGAATCCAGACGAGCTCAATGACACCGTCAATCTTGCTCATCGGCTCGCCATCCTCCTCAACCCACCGCTCATCGTCCTTCCGACGAGTGTACACCTGAAGTACGGATCCATCCTCCTGTACGTGGGCCTCTTGCAATTCCCAGGCAATCTTGCGACCGGTCTTGTGCAAAGATCTGCGCTGGGGGCCGAACATGTAGTCCAAGTTCCAGCCAATGTCATCCGGAGCAGGAGTGAAGGTGCGTTCCATCTGATCCAAGTTGAAGTCGATACCTTGGGGGTAGTGGGCAACGCTGAATCCGTTGGCGATGATGAAGTCGTCAGCAGTAATGAAACGCTGGTAGGCGCAATCCTCTCCACAAGCGTGTCCGACCTTGGCAGACTGGAGGGGCTTGGCGTAATGCCAACCGCCGCCCTTGTAATGGTGCAAGCTCAAGGGCTTGATACCAGACTCGTAGAAGCCGGCTGGGTCGCCGTACAAGTCCAATTGCCAAAGCTCCCAAATATTGGTCAGACGAACCTCGGTATTTTCGTAGATACACTTGCGGAGAAGGATATCGCCCTGAGGACCCCAGCCTGAGTTGGCCTCTTTGATCTTGGTCTCCGTCTTGCAAGACTCGTAGAGCTGGTTAATGGCAGCCGCGAGAGGGACGCTGAGGAAGACACCAGCACCGCCGAAAGCCTGAGAGCCGTGGCGGTGAATGGCGTTGACGTCCTCGGAAAGGGTTCCGATGTAGAGAGGGTCGAGGTGGTCGAAGGTAGCAAACTTGTCAATCAGACCGTGCATGCTGGGGAAGAAGGTGTCATCGTCACAAGTGACGAGCCACTTTCTGGTCTTTCTCTCAGGGTGGTTGTACAGATAAGGCACCAGGGTAAGGTAGCGAACAGCCATCTCCATGGAGGGGTCGGAGTGGGCGACGTCGGCGTCAATTCCAACCCTCTTGAGCCTGTCGCTGGCGTCCTTCAACTCAGCGTCGCTAGCGTCAAGAAGCAACAGCAAAAGCTTGCCGCCATTGGACTTCCCGTTGCTGTCGGTAAGCCAGTGAGCCCATTCCTTAATCGGGCTTGTCTTAGGGTCATTGAAACGCTTGTAGGTAGTAGAAACAGCGAACATGAAGTCGGAGGCGTTGACGGTGGAAGGGTAGGAAGACTGTGTGACGGGGACATCCAGGGGCTCGTGGCACTCCTCAGGGGCGTACGACTTTGTGATGTCGACAGTCTTGAACTTCTTGGGGAGGAACTCCTGATCCAAAACAGTGTAACCCTTGCGCTGGATGGGCTTGCGACTGAACCTGACGTAGCGCTTGAAGTAGTGAATCTTCTCGGAAAGGCCGTACTTGTCCTTGAGGGTCTTGATGTGGTCGGTGTTGATATCGCAGTTCATGACGTGGCTTGAGGAGGGAGCGGGCTCGGCGGGGATCTTTTCGGAAAGCGACGAGGAACCGTGCGACTTGACCGGGTCCAGGGGCTGCTGATGCGTGATTGATGACTTGACACCGGCGCCCGTCTTCATAATGCGGCCGCGAACGTCGATGGCATCGTTCCTGAGGGTGAGGGCCATGACGATGAGGACGACGACTGCAAAAAGCAGCGTTCTCGTAAGTGGGTTACGCATGCTGCAGACGCGATGCGGATTGGGCAGCTTAGCTCCCATTGTCCGAATAAAAACTTCTAGTTGTTTTTCGTCCAGCTTGACGGTTGTGAGTGGGTGTCGTCCTTGAGAGGCGGGGGAAGGTGAGGTATACACAATCGCTGGTGAGAGCAGCCAAGAGATGCCGACCAAGCTATACTCTGGATGATGGAGAGAGAATGATGGCGGCAGCAGTAGTTCGGACGATGTAGCTCCACGGGCCAAGAGGTGTCAAAACGGTCGGAAAAAGGCGTCAAGGCGAGAACCGCATAGGAAAGACGGAAACGTAGGTACTAAAGATGGTGACTAGCAGTGCTGTTATTGTTGCTGAGCGAGTGACACGATCATAGGACCGGCAAGTGATCGGGAAGACGTTGACGACGACAACGATGAGTGAGATGCGTGGTCGGGAGCGGGATCGGAATCTCTGCCGCTAGGAAACGAAGACGCAGACAGACAGACTGGCGATCCAGATTTCGTCGTGAGCTGGAGAGACGAAGAAGGAGGAAAGGAGTAGGAGGGGAAGGGTGGGAGATGAGGGAAGAAGAGGTAGAAGAGGTCTGGAAGAAGGAAAAGAGGGTCTTGGCGGATAGGTAGTGCTGCGTAGGGGAAGCAAAGGCGTACGAATAGTGCGCCGATGTGAACGGGAGGCCAGGCTAGGGCAATTAGGAGAGAGACAGGTCCCAGTTTGCAAGGACCTCGAAGACGTATTCGTGGATAGCAGCGAAGAAGAGGAGACTCCGGTACGGCGTAGAGTGATGGACGGGGGATGGTGGGAAGTTCCCAGGGTAGGCTGTCAGGGGGTGTGGGAATTGGAATGGGAGAGTGATGGAGCTAGGGAAAAGAGCAGGGGGCATGTGGATGAACCAAGTGCGCGATCCTCGAGGGTACTTGGAGGGGAAGAGAGAGACTGTGTGGCAGTATTTCGTACCTACAGATATGAAGTGTGGAAAGGGAAAAGGTGGACACTAGCAGACTAGGAATACACTGAAAGGGACGAGGGAAAAAAGAAGGAAGCAGAAAGGGCAGTCTGTTTCTGTAGGGAGCTGTGGAAGAGAGACAGGTAATCAGTCGCCCACGTCCAAGGGGAAATTTGGTACAAATACTATCATACTCTGTCAGCTACGGGATCAAGCCAGGGGGGAAAAAATCACTGTGTAGGAACGGATAGAGAAAGAAGAAGCAGGCGGGCCAGGTTTGGTTGGTGCGGCCGGGGCCTTGGATTGATGAACCGACACACTTGGGAGAAGACGTGGGAACGCGGGTGGGATGGTTGATTGGAATTAAATTGGGTGTACAGGGGTAGCCTGCCATGCTGAAGAAAGACGATGGTCCTTGCCGCCCATCGCTTCCACACATAGAAGAAGCGATGGACGGTTTCCCTCCCGTACAGGATTTATGGTAAGGTACGGAGTACGGAGGGGACGGTATGGTAAAATACCGTCCAAACAATATGTGTGTGTGCATCCGTTTGTGCGTGAACAAGGGAAATCGGGAGCAGAACAAAAAGGGAAGTAGGGGACGGGCGCTTCAACTGCCTCCAGGTCCTGCCTCGGATGAACAAGGACGGAAAGTCAACAAACCGATGTTGAATACTTGGGCCGTCTCAGCCACAATTTCCCAAGCGCCGGTTGACGACGACAACGGATAACGAGCCGCTGCCAGTGTCAACGCCGCCACCGCCACCGGCTGCCAGTGCTGACCTAAGGTAGCAGCACGGTAAGGTACCTTAGCATGTAGGTACACTACGGAGTATCCGTACCTACACAGACTCTATGACAAAAAGACCATGCTCCTGCTCCTAGACGAGCACATATGATAGGGGGGGAAGGAAGGGACAGGAATAGGAGGTACTGTGAGGCGAAAAAGAATGAGAGAGAGATTCTGCGTGCTGCAGTGACAGCCAGTGGTTACAGAGTGGGAGGCACCATTGCTGAGCAGAGGGCGGCAGGGCCAAAGGCAAGGTGCAGGGGAACCTGGGATGGTACCTTGGCGCGGAAACGGGACCTGCAGCTTGCGTCTTGCATGGGAATTTACAACCGAGTTGGAGGTTGACGAGTGCGGATGGGGGACCGAGTCGAGCTTACTCTCGATTCCACGAAACGAGTATTGAGCTTGAGGCTAACTGATTGAATCAGAACGAAAGTTGCTTTGCTGCTCGAGACAGAAACCGCGTGATCATGTCTCCAGACTCCAGTGTCTCCGTCTCCCTTTTTCTCCTGTGCGATTGCACACGTACACGCGGCAGCATGGAACACGCAGAAGCAACATGAGTCCGATCTGATGTTGCTTGCTGCAGTCGTTGCTTCTCCTCGTGGCACAAAGCGGGTGTCCTCGTCATTTCATCTCATCTTATCGCGCCCCCGATACTGATCTCAATCATCTCCGCCAGTCTTCCAGGGCTTCGCATCGTCGTAGCGGGATGGATAGGTAGGGAGAGCCCTGAGAAGCTACCGAAACCAAGACCTACGCAGTGTTGTACGTGAGTATCAGTGTCGGTGACAGTGAGTGAGCTGCGTGTTGGGTGCGGGCGGCACTGTGAGAAAGAAGGGGGCATTTGAAAATTGTTGGATCACGGCGCATGGGTCGACAACTGGGAAGGACATGGGGAGGTGGGAGAAGTCCAGCCCGCGCGACCAGGGACGGGGAAAGAATCAGAAAATTTGACTGGCCAGGACCGGCAACGCACGAGGGGGGCACTATGGGAAGGGGGGGTGTGCAGATAGGCGCAGGTGGGGGCCTAGGGTGGGGTGCGTGTCGGGATATCCAGTACGTACCTTCACAGCCTCCCCGGTGTACTGCCATGCTGCTCTAGGTACTGTACGCAGTAAGGTAATCTGCGGCCTGCCTCTAGGAGTTCCATCTCAGTGACCAGTCGCCAGTGTGCTCTGCGTTATCGCTCGCCATATCCAGCTAGCAGTCTGGCGAGATCACGGATCTACTTGCTGAATATGCATCTTGTCGACGACGTTGCGGTACCAAGACGGCAAGGGCCCAACAATCCCATCTGCTGGGCACGGCATCTGGCTGACCTGTCAACCGTGCCGAGAACGCTGGGCGCTGTATGCGGAGGCGCTATCGTGGATAAGACGGCACTGCTGCTGCTCATGATGATGATGATGATGATGATGATGATGATGATGATGATGATGATGATGATGATGATACCAACCTATGACCTTGGAAACCTGGCAGAGAAAGTAGGTGACGACGTCAGCTATCAACACACATTCGACACTTTGTCGATGGACAATCGCCTGCATAAATTTCTTTTCGGCCCCCGAGCGCGGTTACGTGGCAGAAGGCGTCAAAGAGCGTGCTAACGCCTAGGTAGGTGTCGGCCGATCTGCTCTTTGACTTTCAATTGACATTCCCGTCAAGACGGCGCTATCAACGGGCTCCTGTTCCTGACTTGCGTATCGAGCCCGGCGCCAGCTGCAAGCCACAAGCTTCCAAGCTGAGAGGAAACGCCGGCCCACCGTCCCTCTCCGCTGGGATTCAGCGCCGAGTCGCCTGTGGATGGGCGCTAATTAGTGTACAGATTGCAGACGGGACCAAGAGGCTAGAGCAAATTTGGGCGAATTCGCAAGCGGTGGGCGTTCATTAGTAAGGCCATCTGCATGATTGTTGACTTTCCCTCCCTCTGGCGTGTATATGAGTGGCAGTTGAGTATTCGGCCTTATCAGATAGTGGGCTGTTAGACAGTGTTTGAGCGTGCCCTGCATGAGCGGAGGAAAAGGCGAAATGAGTGCCAAATGCAAGTTGAGTGTGAGGAAATAGGGTACGATTGAAAAACGAAAAGCAATGACGAAATGTTCATCCGTATCAGTCTGTCAGAGTTCACCATAACTGGGGGAAGAGAGGATCCTGATTCATGTGATCCATTCCTCCTCTCACAGACCACCAGATTCGATCGCCATCTTCAAATGTTCAATCTTGCCGCTCTGCCAGGTCTGTAAACGTGCTCGAGGCAATGTCACGCGATTGGAAGGTCCGCGGTTGCACACCCCATATACAACTATCCGTACCTACGGAGTATGGAAGTAGAAAATCATAATGAGCACCGTCATGATTGGTCAAGATGCCATCTTCTATCTGTCCCTTTTCCTCAGGTCCTCAGGGGTTCCTGCTTCGTTTTGGAGGGGTGTGAAGATAGCCGGTGTCTGTTCTGAACCCTCCCTCCCTCTCCCTCCTTCCTTTCTTTCTTCCCACTGGGAGCCAAAAAAAAAAACCTAGGAAGGGACCATCTACCAAAGATGATCTAGGAAGGCGACAAAACAAGGAACTCAGATTCTACCTTCCGAGCCCACCGAAATGACCGCCCATCGCCAAGTACCGCTCCCGTACCCGCGAACAACCTGCAATCTCTCGCCTTCCCATGTGCCGAGCGACCCCAATCTTAATTATTTTCCCTCCCCCCACCCCCATCTGCAAACCATCCAAATTTCATCAATTTGCTGCTGCGAAGCCATCCAGGCCAACCCCTTCCAGTCGAGTCTATCCGTACGGATACCCGAATCGCGAATCCTCGTCTCCGTTCCAATTCATATCGCAGTGCGGCTCCCAATCGGGTCTTTCTGAAATAGACTGCTCATGGCATCATCGCGGAAGGGTTCCCAAGGGCCGGCGCAACGCGTTCGGTCCATTTTCGGATAGTGACAGATTTGACGGTCGAGGCCCTAAGAATTAAACGTCCCGTCGATTCAATACGGATACAGCAGGCAATGACTTGGCAACTTGGCCCGTGGATTTTCTCCATTTGGTGGATGGTTTTGCACGGCTCGGACAACTCTACTCGCTACTCAATCTATATACCACGCTGCTGATCATCGTCGATTCGCCTCAATCCCAGACCAGCCGTTTTCGACTTCGGTCAGCCGAAAGGGGATGATACTATCAGTGTCTCTCTTTCGGTCGATATCAAGAAACATATGGCGTCTTCCACCGACTCCCACGGAGTTGTTTCCGTGCAGCTACACCAGCTACGGATAGATGGCAGGAAAGGAACCCCTCTACAGAAACTGGATGGCCTATCATCAATTCGCGCCGAGTCGCCGCCTCTGCCACCAAACCCGTGACGCTGGTTCAGCCTGCATCGCCATCGTCATCGGCCCTCATCGGCCCTTCTGAACCCGCTCTGTTGTGCACTGTACTCTGGGCCACCTTGTTCCGTCCGCTGCAGCACGATCAACACGAGCTGGTTGGCATTGCCCTACGGGTGCAGCGTCTTTCCCGAGTCCTGACTTGGGTTTGCGTGGTTGCCACTGAGGATTTTGCACGCTTCATACGGTGTACCCGCTAATACACGAGCACAGCCTGTTCTGGTGCCACTGTTTCCTGCCATCCGCCGCCTGCGCAGTATTACTCCGAATGAAACCCTCTGTCTGCCAGAAATCAAGATACATACGACAGAAGAGTTGCTATTTTTTGCACCACGAGAAAAACGGGCCGCCTTACGCGTCGTCACTCCTAACCGGACGACCCAGTTTGCACCGTCGCCTCCACCAAAGTGGCCAATTAGCTGCGCACTTGGCTACGCTCTCTCCTTTGCCGGCTGGTCCCAGAGGCCACAAACAGCTGCTGTCTTCCAAGCTTGGTTACGCATTTGCCGCGATCCGAAAACAAAATACTTGCTTACCGCGCTTCTTCCAGAAGGTTGCCGCCCTGGGGAGGCTCAGCAGATCTTCAGCAATCGCCCTTATTGCTCCTACGTATTCGTACAACCGGCCACAGTCCCTTTCAGCGTCCTCAACGGTCATAGAACCACCTGGAGGCTGGAGCACTAAGAAGCCAGAGAGCCAATCCCATGTTCCATCCCGCTGGGATCGACGTCGACGAAAGACGGGAGGCGCTGCTTTCAAGCCAATGTCCTCTCTGGCTGGACAACTGCTTCGGGTACCCTGCGGTGCCTGCGACACCATGGTCCTAAAACGGACTGAAGGCTGGCTGAAAAGGGTCCGCCGTTCAATGGACTGTTACTCTGCAACAAATCATTTCTCGAGTCCATGCATCCTAGGGACCTAGACACCCCCAACTGACAGCGACGCTTCCCGATTCAGGGATTGTGCCGGCGCCGTTTGATTCCTTTCTGCTTCGACGAAACATGACGCGGATCCTGCTGCGAACCGCGGCCGATCAGCATTTCTCTGACAACAGACACGCATTCTTTGTTCCCCTTTCAAGCCATGGTGGCATGCACGCATGGTGGTGAAGCTCAACCGTCCAGCCACCCATCCCCAAACCACGGCGGGTGCTTGGAGCGGCAGCTGGCCCAGTCCATCAGACTTTCGGTTCGACGCCGTGAACCTTAGCCAACATACTTTCCAGCCTTCCACTGCATGCCCCGACAAGCGGGAAGCGCAGAGTCAAAAGTTGGGCAAAAGTCAATTGCGCCAGCTCTCCCCGGCCAGTCAAGACAAACATTTGGACTTGGCGATGAGCTTAATCGTCGAGAAATCGGAAATGTTTAGATGACGGCTGCACCAGCAAACCGGTCCCAACCGCGTGCGAATCGTGCAACGGACACAGAGTACACCCTGAAGCCCAGAATGAGGAAAAGAGAGAAAAATGGCGAGCATTACTGGACACGGTCGATCGACCTGCTCATCCCACCGCATCTGGAGAGCCCATTTAATGGACCCGACATGGCCTGACGGATCTGTTATCCATCAATTCAGCGCCAGTTTCCGGTGACCGTTTCCTTGGCGTGGGGATATCAGATGAAGAAGGGGTTGTGGGCAGTTGGAGTTTGGACTTTGCAGAGGCACACAGGCAAAAATAGGGGCCACTGGGGGTTCTGAACCGCCGGCGAAAGGCCGAAGCAAGCAACAAGAAGACTTAACCTCAGACGAAGGCCCAGAAAGCATTCTTGCTAAACGTCAAAAGGCGCAGAGAGACCTGCATATCCCAGGCCGTCTCATCGTCGTGGAGTCGATGACGTCCTCAGCACAACCTTGCGTACAAAATCCAGTCGTTAAGCTACTCCACCAGCTCATGGATCCGATCACCACGACTCACGAATTCCGCTCAGACTGAGAATTCTGAAATTTCGCTCAGCGAACCCGGCGACTCAGAACAGGGCATGGATCCCGCGATTCGAGCTTGCGGCTTTGGCGAGACAAGCAAAGTCTAGACAATCGTCACAAATGCGATGCACCGCCTTGCTGGTTATGGACTGGAATGTCGGAATCGATATCAAGAATAAACTGCCGGCGGGGGTAGTCTAACATACCTACCTCGAGGAATAGAGCATCTGGTACGGCGCCTAGCTCACATCTAAAAGCACCCGAGGACCAGCCATCCGTCCATTACCGCTGCTATTTTGGACCCAAGACAATCCGCACAATGAACGTCGTCTGAATTGCGTCAAAAGTTACCTGATGAACCCCTGCGGATCACCCAACTGATCCGTTTCACATCGCTTGAGGATCGCCCTGCTCGATATGGCTATTCCCTACAACAATATCCAGCCCGTTGGCCAACTTCCAACCAGTGACAAACACCATACACCATTCAGCGCTGGCGACGGCTCCGGATTGATTGTCACTGACCTAATGGATGCCATAATGCTAAACCTCTAACCACGCGGGACCGCACGGGAGCCGGCCGGCAGTTGGGCCGTGGGCCCCTGGACTACGCCGCACCATCGTCTGTCAATCGCTCTCCATACGGCCTGTCGGCTGCCATAGTGCAAGGGGTTATTTGGCGTATATCGCGATCTGCTTTCTTCCCTCCGCTTATCTCAGTGGCTCGATCAAGAACCGTATAGGGGTCGTAGCCTTGAGGCACTATTTCCGTTCGACCTCCGTTTGAATCCTTCTTGTCTGTTGTTGCGAGCGCGTCGGTGGCTCACAAGCAGAAGCTTGAAAGCATTCCTTCCAAAGTTCCAACAGATGCTGGACGTCCAAACCTACTCCTTCGAAAACTATCACTTTTCATCGACCCGACTTATTGATTGGGCCTCCATTTCTTTGCCCATCCCCGCACTTGGCCCGCCTGCATGATCTCCTGTGCTCACTGCGATGGCATGGCGGCTCTCAATCTGAGGAGGGCTCAGAACCAACCATTGCTTTTTTGCTTCCCTTGCCGGCCGCAACAGCAGCATATGTTTCTTTGCAATAGGACCATGCGTGCCCTTGGTTCGGGAAGGCCCTCCGAAGCCAACTAGGGCTAGCGTGCGGATGCAGCCAGCCAGACATGGCTTGCAATTGTGTCTAAGTACCTTGTTATTAAAGAAAGTTAATTCTTTCTAAGTTATAAATATAAGAATATAGTTTTAATAAAATAATATAGTACTTACTTAGTACTTAAATTAAGATACTTT